CCACCGCGCCCGGCCTCATCACTGTTTTTTATTTGAGCCATTTTGACGGGCGTGCGGTGACGCCTCATTGTGGGTTCGATTTCTGTGTTCCTAACAACGAACGATGGTGAACATCCTTTGATGTGCTTGTTCGACATCGACAGACCCTCTTCAGGGACATGTCTGTCCCTGTCACTGTCCATTTCTTAACCAGGTTGTTTGTTTCCTTACTGTCGAGTTTTCCGAGTTTTCTATTAATAGATCCACGTTCTCTGGTGGAGAGGCGATTTGCAAATGCACGCTCCCGGTCTGCGGCTTTTCTTTTCTTCCTCCTCAATAGCATCTTTCACAGAGCGACAGTTACTCATTTTGATGAAGTCCAATTTATCCGCGTTTTCTTTTGTGGCTCATCCTTGGACATTGTCCCCAAGAACTCTCTGCTTCATGCCAGGTCTTGAAGGTTTGCTTGTAAATGTTTTGTGGTTTTGCATTTTACATGTAGACCTATGATCTGTTTTGAATTCTATTCTGAGTGTGAGGGGCAGCCTGAGAGGGTTTTATTGTCGGGGCCACAGGGAGCCATTGAGGGTTCTTGAGTGAGGGGAGATATAGAAGGCAAGAGGACTTAGGCAAGCGGAGTCAAGTAGCTCACGATGGCCTCACTCTGGGCCTCAGTTTCCCCTACCCAGTAAACAAATCGACCTGACCAGAGGATGTATAAAGTCAGCGGGCATTAAATGAGGCCACATCCGTGGATGTGTGCTCCCTCGGCCTTTGGAACAGACTGCGGCCCAACGCCAGCCCCTTTCCCGCGCGCGCCAGGCCGCGTCTCATGGCTCAGATGTTCACAGTCACACAGAGGGAGACGAGCTCAGCGGGACGGCTCAGAGCTCACTCGACCCCGGAAAACTTTTCCTCTCAGATGGCAAAATCAGGTCATTTTTCAATTCCAGTCATTCTCCTTCATACATAAAATGTGCCAAGAGCCACTTTCCCGAAAATCTAAATTGAAAGTAAATAGCATAGGGGACAATTCTCGGTGATAAAACCGCCGATTCTGGAGCTTCCTGGGATAATATTTATTCTCTCCTGTCGCTAATGGCCCGGGCCGCCTCCCCGGGTTATTAAAGTAATGCGTTTGCTTAACCTGGCGGGGGCTGCGGCCGCCCAGGCCGGCTGCGCCCCGCGTGAAGCGCCCCCACCGCCAGCCGCCACCGGACAATTATATTAACGGCTGCTGGTTTGCAATTACGATAAATCAGAAAGCGCGTCCGTCTCAGTTTGTTTTTCTTTATTGAAAATGTTTAAACTTCATGCATTGCAAATATCACCTCCCCGGCTGGATTTAACTCTTTCTTTGAGACTGGAGGGCCGGACCGCAAGGGCTTTGTGGTGGTGGTGGTGGGGTTGCTAGGATGATGACACTCCCCCCACCCCCCCACCCCCCGCCACTTTCTGGGTGAGGAAACTGAGGCTCAGAGAAGAGATGCCACTTGCCAGGCGTCAGACGGCTTGCTGGGCCACTGCACGAACACTGCCCTGAGTTTTTGTGCTGCGATGCCCAGCCAAGTCACATTCCTTGTGGCAAACGTTAGGAAATGGTGAAACTAGGTGGGGGCGGCAGCTGGCTCATGCCTGTAACCCTAGCACTATAGGAGGCTGAGGCAGGAGGATCGCCTGAGGCCAGGAGTTCGAGACCAGCCTGGGCAACATAGGCATACCCCCTTCTCTACAAAAAATAATTAAAAAAAGAAAGAAAAGAAAATGTTGGCATCTCCTGTGGCCTCAGCACAAACCAGCACCAACGGTGCAGTGGTGGGGGTGGGGTATGTCCTCCCGGAGATGTTTAATTTTTCCATGCATATACATTCAGGCATGCCTCAAATGAATGCAGGTTGAATTATGCATTCAGTAAACATGGAGGTGTTTATTGAGCACCTACTGTGTGCTGGGTAGGTGGTTTTGGGTACAAGAAACAAAACAGACTTACTCGAAGACGGTTCCAGGCGGCGGGCACAGCCTGTGCAAAGGCCCTGGGGCTGGACTCCCTGCCGCACTCCAGGCCCAGCAAAGGGTGAGCACAGTGAGTGCAGGGGTGTGTGGGGGCGGGGTGGGGGTGAGGGCAGGAGGGGCACAGAGACGCCTCACGTGGAATCAGAGGAAGAGAAGAGGCCTTCCTGGGGTTCTGCGGTGCGGAGGGCTGAGGTTCGTGGAGGTTGCAGGCTGGGAGGGGACAGGAGCCCGGGTTCTGGCTGAGCAGCCACAGGGGCCGACGGCAGCTGGGATGGGGGTGCAGGAAGGGCAGATTTGGGGGGAGATTGGGACACAGCGTGGTCGTGTTGAGTGTGAGACCTCAAGAGTCCCCAGAGAGGAGACGTGGAGAGCTGGGGGAGGCCCGGGCTGCGGACGGAACTGTGGGTGTCAGCGGGTGTAGACGGATTTCGAGCCCTGAGAGTGGATGAGGCTGGCCTGCAGGGGTGTGAGTGGAGGTGAAGGAGGCTGGAGAGAGACAGGGACAGGGGAGGGGCCGGGAGAGGTGTGGGGAGACCTGGCCCGCTCGGGGGTCTGGCCGGTGTTCTCAGGGGCAGTGTGGACGGCCAGCAGGCGCTGCCTGGGGGCGCCAGGAGGATGGGACAGGCCAGCGGTGGCCCTGACAAGAGCAATATCGGTGGCGCAAGATGTGAGGGTCTAGACTGATGGGATAACATTGGCGGGCCAGGTACCGACAGTGGCGAGTGTAGACAACTCGAGAGTATCCTGCCTCCATTGTCTACTCTGCAAAATAGGCACAGCTCAGGCATCCGGTTAAGTCCACGCTGGCGACAGGTCTGTACCCCCTGGGGTGGGTCTGTGAGGGGTCAGCCGCTGCTCCAGGCACAAGGCAGCCCCCCGCCCCCCAAAGGGAGACAGACAGTCTCAAGGAAAAACTCAGTGAGATCCCTGGTGAGAAAGGGCCCCACAAGTCAAAGTGCTTTTTCAAAAATAAATAGCCTGATTAGCATAAGGTATGCAAATGTATGCTAATGTGACAACTATTAAAAGATTTCAAATGTCATCGAGGGAAAACACACTGGGTCCTGGCTGGAGGGGTGGGGGATGGGAGGAGAGGATGCAGCCAGGACTCCTGAGAAAGGTTTTGGGGTGCTCAGGCCCAGTAACGCCAGGCGACACCCTCTGCAGACAGACAGCCACGCGTGGGTTACGCCAGGCTGGACACAGTCCTCTCCTGGGCTGACTCCGCAGACTGAGTGCTGAACCCCGAGTTACACAAACGTTCCTCCGACACATTGTACTCAAGTGCCAGAAAGCTGTCCGGGGTTGGCCGGGCACGGTGGCTCACACCCGTAAACCCAGCCCTTTGGGAGGCTGAGGCTGGAGGATCACTTGAGGCAGGAGTTCGAGACCAGCCTGGACAACATAGTAAGACTCTGTCTCTACAAAAAAATTAAAAAATTAGCTGCAATGGTGGCAGGTGCCTGTAGTCCCAGCTACTCGGGAGGCTGAGGCAAGAGGATCTCTTGAGTTTGAGGCTGCAGTGAGCTGTGATGGTGCCGCTGTGCTGCCCAGGGTGACAATGCCTCTTCCTGCACTATTAGTACACAGACTTGTTCTGCAAATGCTCCCTGGGAGAAATGACAGCGTGGGTGACAGACCCCAGGACCTTTCCTGAAAATAGGTTTAAAGAAAATAGGTTTTCTCCCACAGAAAAAAGCCCAAATCTCCTAAGGACCTGTATAGGTAAGAGATTTTTCCTATTAATAAAATCATACTTAGTCTCCCTCATTCCAGGAGAAATTTTTCATTCTTATCTCTGCAAAATCTGCCTGCCTTAGAGTGGGGAACGACCTTTCCCCAGTGTCACCCAGCTGTGCCATGTCACCGAATCACCATAACCATCTGATGAGACAAGAATTATTGAAAGCATTTTCAGACAACAAAATTGAGGATCAGAGAGGTGATACGACTTGCCCCAGGTCACACAGCAATGGTGAGACAGGTCAGGTCGGCTGGCCAAGCCTCAGCTTCCCAAATTTCTGTCAATCACACATCACCTTACCACTTTTATTATTTCCTGAATATTTCCCTTCGAGTGGCCCCACTGCTTAAAATCTTCCATCTATTTAGAAGGAGATTGTTTATCATGGCTATAAATGAAAAGCGAGAATCACTGGCCATAAGTAGAAACTAACTCAATGAAAACAAAATCATGTTATTAATCTCTGGCTAAAGATAGTTGCCTCTGAGGCGCTGGGCTGGGGCGCTCTCCCTCCCTCCATCCCTCCCTCCCTCTCTCTCTCTCTCTGTCCAAAAGGGAGGTTCCAGCTGTCAGGGAAGGTGTTAAAGACTGATTAGCACTCAATTAAGACTTCCTTCTTGCAAAAGAAGTGGCAAGGGAGAGCTCTGTCGCTAAGAGATTCGGTGGCACTTAAGGCTGTTTTAAGTGACACCTAAAACAATCTGAGGGCCACCAGGCTTGTGTCCATCTACCTGAAGGGCAAGAAGATCATCTTATTACCTTAGAATTCTAGAATTATGGCCAGGGATCCATTTGGGGGCTCATGCTATCAGCCTGAAGATGGAGAAGCGAGGGTTTCATTTATAAATAGACCCACCTGTCCATCCACCCGCCCGCCCACCCATCCATTCAGCAAACTGACATCCCGCGCCCGCTGTGTGCCGGGCACTGTTCCAGGACACGGAGACACAGTGCTGACCGGGACACACCTGGTCGCCACCCCGTTGGAGCTTTGTAACTAGTGAGCCACTCTCCCTCCCTTTGGCGACATCATATGCTGGATTACAGAATTCCTCTGCATTCTTTCAGCGATAAGGGTCATCCCGGTGGCATTTGTGGGTTCTCCCTGACCTGCCTCCCCCCCGCAGGCGGCAGCAGCACCCCGGGTCAGGCGGACCCTGCAAGACATTTCCCGGCAGCACTTGCAGTTGCGCCCCCACGTGACTGAATTGAGCCAATGGAGTGTGAGCGGAAGTGACGCATCTATCACTTCCGTTTGGGCTCATGCCGTTTCCGCAAGCCGCACTTTGAAGATGGAGGAGGTAGAAGACCGAGTGGGCCGTGCCATGAATTTACTAGGTGGCGAAAAGGAGCCACCTGCCTGCTCTTCGCAGGAGCAGCACACTCGTGTTGTGGCAAGCCACTGAGGTTGGCTGGCTTATGACAACAGGGAGCATCCCCTCAACCAATCCACACCTTTCCCCCTGTCCGGCCCTGTGGTTTCATTGGTCCTGCTCCCCAGCTACAGCCAATCACTGAAGCCTGTTCCCATTGGCTTTCTGATTGGCTCCACCTGGTCATGTGACCGAAGCCTGCATATGGCCCCCTTTGATGGGTTTCCAGGCCCCACCACCTTGAGGACCCGGACGGCTGCTGGGCCCAGCGCTCCCAGCTCGAGAACGGAGCTTCTGGCGTTTGCTACGGGGAGAGAAAGGAGACATTTGTTATTTACTATTATTATTTTGATTGCTTTTTAATGCCCTGAAGTTGAAACGGGCCTTTTTCCTGGATGATCCAAATTCGGGCACTTGTTTCTGTCGCTTAAACTCCCCTGATGATGCCCTGACCGCGTCTCCGCCCAGACGTGGCCCCGGACTTCTGCCCAGCTCCTGCTGGACTCCTCCTCTGGGATGTCCACCGGGCACGTCCTACCCACTCCCCAGTGCACCCCTTGTATCCCCGCACCAGCTCCTCCTCCCGTGCCCCTCTCAGCCATGGCCTCACTTTTTTCTGGAGAGCTGTGAACAAGCCTCCCCATCTCCCTGTTCTGTCTGCACCCCCAATTCCACACTCGCCAAGTCCTGTTGATTTCATCGTTATTGTCTCCAGGGCACCCCACTCTGCCCCCACCTACCTCGTTCAGACAAACACCAGCTCATACAACAGCTCCCCTGATGGCCTCCCAGCAGCCACACAGCAGCCGGAAGGATCGATCTTAAGTGTAAGTCTGACCCTGCCCCTCTCTCCCTCCATAGCTCTCCATGGCTCCCCAGTGCCCTCAAGAGAAATTCTGAAGTTTATTTTCAGAGTTCCTCATAGTCTAGCTACTTCATTCTCCCTTGCCCTGCCCCTACTTGCCCTGCCCCTGGCTCATGTTTAGATGTCACCCCTGTAGGAAGCTTCCTCTGAGCTCCTCCCCAAGGCTGAGAGAGGACTGTCCTCTGAGCTTCCTCCATCGCAGCGCTGGCCACCCTACGCTGTAACTGCCTGGTTGTGTGTCTTTGAGTCCCAGGAGGGCAAGGGCTGGGTCTGTCTTGGTCACTACTGTCCCCAGCCACCAACGCATGTCACGCCACCCAGCAGGGACTTAATAAGCGTTTTTGAATGAGTGACTGGTGCTGGGAAATGAGAGGCTCAGTGAGCGCTACCGTGTGTGGCAGACGCTGTGGGCGCCAGTATTGCACCCACATTTCGGTACCTGCCAACTGCCTCCTTCTGCAGTCACCTGCGTCTCCCCAGCTGAGCCTTCTCAGGCTGGGTGAGGGCCAGGCTGGAAGTGACAGGGAGTTGGTGTTTCAGGAAGCAGCCAGTGATGGGCAGGAACTGGCTCAGCACTCGGGAGGGACAGCTCAAGTGCGCGCTCTCTGCTGTCTGCCCCCAGCGCCTCCCGGGGCGACTGAGCCCCAGCTGCCCCCAGCAGTCACCTACCTGTGACTTTGGGCTCTTTTCTTTCCTGTCCCGCGTCCCCACTCCCCTCCTGGGGCTTCCTGGGACCACCTCCCACCAAACTCCTTGTCCCCAAGTCCTTGTACCAGGAGCTACTTCTGGGAAACCCAACTTGAGACGCCGCAATAAAAATAACTCCATAACTCAGCTGCCAACACTTCCAGGGAGCACTTTGATGTGTTTTGGAAAAAACAAAAACCATTGCCTCTTGCTCCCTGCTGGCTGCGGACCTCGCTTCCTCCGCGCGCAGACTGCGACATTTGCAGTTGTGTATTAATTGCTTTTTTTTTTTTTCCGGGAACAAGATGCTCTCCTGCAATATGCGTGTGTGTATGTGTGAGTGTGTGTGTTTAATGACTTTCTCATTTTGAGATCAAGCCAGATAGCTTTTTGAAGAAAGTCGGCCCAGAGCCTGGAACATATAGAAAATTCTCCCGGCTTCCTAGCGCTCCCACCACCCATCCATCATGGACGTAGCGTGCAATGGAAAACAAGCGCATTGATTGGACCTAGTTACACTCGGCAGCCTGAGATTCTGCTTGAAGTCTGCGGTTAGACGGCCAAGATTGGCGTGGAAGTGGCGGTGTCCCTTCTCAAGGGCACGGAGTCTGTGGGAGGAGAGAAAGAATCGTGGCAGCTTTCAGCAAGCATTTATTGAGCTCCTACTTGGTGCTGTGTCGTGGGCTGGGTGCTGGGGACAGAGGGGTGATCAAGACAGACCCAGCGCCACCCTCCTGGTGGGGGAGACGTACGGGTCACCAGGGGCCCATGATCGGAGCCATGACGTGGGGGACACTCAGGCAGCTCCGGGGGTCCCTGCGGAGGTGCCTGAGGCAGCCTGGGAAATCAGGGAGGGCTTCCTGGAGGCAGGAAAAGCTGCACTGAAGGCTGAGGAGGGGTGGACCAAAATAAGAAATGGGGAAGAGCTTTCAGAGAGGAGGAACAGCATGTGCGTGGTGGGCTGGAGCACGGAGGGGTGGGGAAGAGGGAGAGTAGGGAGAGATGAGGAGGGGGAAGCCGGCAGTGCTTTGAGGTCCGTGGAAAGGGGTTTCAGCCTTCCCGAGGACAATAGGGAGCCATGGAAGGATACAGGACAGGGGAGTGAATGCCGTTTGTTAAAAACCATTTTGGATAGAATTGTCATGTGACCAGCCACAAGCAGGGACTCAAACAGATCCTGGCACAGCCATGTTCCCGGCGGCATTACTCGCGGCAGCCAGAAGGTGTTAACTGAAGCACCCCATCTCCATGGGCGGGGGTCCCCAACCTAGGGCGAGTTGTGTCATTCTCTCATCATTAAGGACAATGTGACAATAATAAAGTGCACAATAAATGTAATGCGCTTGAATTATCCCAAACCACGTCCCCGCCCCTGGCCGTAGAAAACTTGTCTTCTGTGGAAAAGGTCCCTGGTGGCCAAAAGCTTGGGGACCCTGGGCTAGCAGCCGCCAAGGGCTGGCGCGGGCGTCCGTGCTCGGTGGTCAGTCTCTGTCGGAGCTAACGAAAACGCTTTGGAAATGGGTGGTGGCGACGATCGCCCGACACTGTGAATGTGCTTACGGAACTGCCACCGAACCCTGCACTTCAAACTGGTTAAAATGGTGAGTTTTATGTTATGCGTATTTTACCACAATTTTTTTTTAAAGAGCTACAATTTTTTTTCAAAGAGAGAGAGAGAGAAGAAAATAATCATTCTGGGTGCCGCGGGAGAGCCAGGATGGAGGAGTGAGTCGGGGGCGTGATGTGGGGGGCTCCGGCCAGGGCGGGGTTGGGGGAGGGTGAGAGGTGGGGGCGGGGCCGGGAGGCGGGGCCAACAGGAGGCGGGGCGGGGCGGGAGGGAGGAAAGGAGCAGGTGGCTGAGTTCTCGCGCCCATTCCCCGGAAGTCGAGGCATCTCAACCGCTCTGCAAGTCCCCGTGGCCTGGCCTGGCCAAACCCCCACCCTTCATGGCCTAGCCCGGCGCGGCCCCCAGCAGGCAGCCCCTGAACGGACATTAGTCCCACTTGCTCGGCGCCAAGGTTAAGGTGACACCCGGTAAAGCCACTCCATGCCGGCAGCAGTTGCTCCACGTGCGTCCGCTTCCAAGGTGCAGATGTAATACCTGCTTTTAAATTCAATTAAGTCAGAATCAGTTCTGCTCCTGGAATGCATTACCCCGCCGGAGACAGCAGGGAAAGAAGGAAAAGAAGCAAAACCACACACACTCGCGCGCACAAAACACAACACAGACCTATTTAGAGATTTCCCTCTAAGTGGATTTTAATTCTCGCCATATATCAGAGGCCAGGGGAGCTGCTGACCGAGGAGATCGGGAGTTCGGGGGCTGCCAAGCCAGTTGCAGCCACAGGGAGGGCGGAGGAGGGGTGAGCTTGTGTTCTGCCATCTGGCCCCAAGGCGGGGAGCTCTGGGGCTGCCCAGACTCGGGTCTGAGTCCCTGCCACACTCTGAGTCCCCTGCCAGGGACACAGAGCCCTGAGGCCAGGGTGGATGCCTTAGAGAGCAGCAGCCCTGGCTCAACATCCAGTCTCCCATATCACAGGTGGGGAAACTGAGGCTTGGGAAAGAGAAGGCGCCATCCCGAGCCCATGAAGTGAAGAGCTGTCCCCAGGAGGCCAGGGTCCTCGTCCCGTCTGTGGAAACCTCCAAACGGGACCTCAGTCTTGCCACCTGGACAGGAGGGAGCGGCGAAGTCCCCTGTGCAGAGGCTCGCCTGTGGGGTCCCCTGTGCAGAGGCTCGCCTGTGGGGTCCCCTGTGCAGAGGCTCGCCTGTGGGGTCGGCCAGGAGGGCGCCGGGAGCCCCGGGAGGATGTTTGTCTTCGTACGACCCTGGGGACCAGTGACGGGACATTCAGACCAGAATCTAAAAGGGTTTAGGACAAAGGGGTCGTGGCCTGAAACATCCCTTAGGGCCTCAGCGAGCCAGCGCTGGCTCCCGGGAAGCGCGGCTCCACGCACAAGAGGCCTCCCCCATCCCGGACCCCCCAGTCCTCTGTCACCTGGCTCTGCCCTGAAAGGTCACCTGGGAGAATGGCAGTGTCCAGGCTGCCGTTCCCCAGACCAGGCTTGGGGGCAGGGGCCTGGCTCAGCGTTGGGAAGGTGACAGACACACAGACAAACTGCAGTCACCCTCGAGGGGGCGGGCCCTGCTGTGAGGGGTGCACGCAAGGGGCGGGGGCGGGGGGCATTGTGTCCGCGTCCTGCTGTGGCTGCACGGGTGTGTGTGTGTCGCGACTCCTCGCACTGCGCGTGTAAGGCGTGTGCGCTTTAGAGTGTGTCACGTGCCCTTGAAGGAGGGGGGGAGTCTGAGAGAGGCAGAGACAGAGACAGTGAGAGACAGAGGGAGAGACAGAGACAGGAGACAGTGAGAGAGACAGGAGGGAGAGACAGAGTCAGGAGACAGTGAGAGACAGAGACAGGAGGGAGAGACAGAGACAGGAGACAGTGAGAGAGACAGGAGGGAGAGACAGAGACAGGAGACAGTGAGAGAGACAGGAGGGAGAGACAGAGTCAGGAGACAGTGAGAGACAGAGACAGGAGGGAGAGACAGAGACAGGAGACAGTGAGAGAGACAGGAGGGAGAGACAGAGACAGGAGACAGTGAGAGACAGGAGGGAGAGACAGAGACAGGAGACAGAGAGACAGGAGGGAGAGACAGAGACAGGAGACAGTGAGAGACAGAGACAGGAGGGAGAGACAGAGGGAGAGACAGGAGACAGTGAGAGACAGAGACAGGAGGGAGAGACAGAGACAGAGACGGAGGAAAAGGAGGGAGACAGGAAAAGACAGATACCCAGAGATTACGAGACATAGAAAGATGGGGGAAACTGAGGTATGGGAAGAGAGACAGAGACAGAGGAAAAGGAGGGAGACAGGAAAAGACAGAGATACCCAGAGATTACGAGACATAGAAAGATGGGGAAACTGAGGTATGGGAAGAGAGACAGAGACAGAGGACAGAGACTGGGAGGACAAGGAGGAAACAGGCAAATGGCCTGAGGCAGGGCGGGCGGGCGGGGAGGCGGGGGAGGCAGGAGCCGTCACACGCGAACATGTCCTTAATTATAATTACATGGGAACATTCAGTTTGTAGATGCAGCAGGAGTGAATCGCTGCGCCTCGACCATTAATCTAATGGCTGTTAGTCAATCACTCTCCTGAGGGCTGTGGCTGCGTGGGGGGCGGGGGGGGGCGGTGGCCCTCGGGGAGGCAGATCAGAGGAGATGGCTTTAAACCGGTGACGCCCTCGGGGGGACCCGGAGGGGCACAAAATCCGGGCCGTGGGAGCCCCGCAGGCAGCCGCCAGCCCAGGAGTCAGCAGCAGACCGGTGGGAGTGCCACTCGGCAGCGCCGGGCTGGGCAGGGATACAAGGTATCCAAGAGCGACCAGCCGCTCTTGAACTTGACCTGGGGGGCTGGGGAAGGCCTCCTGGAAGGGCTGACATCTCCACTAGAGGCAGGCGAGCAAAAAGGAAGGAAGAAAAAGCCTTCCAAGGAGAGAGAACAGCTTGCGAAAGGTCGAGAAGGAAACGTGTATGCAGGTCTGAGCGTGACTGGGTGGGACGTGGGTGGGTTGGGGACACGGAGGGGGAGCTGGGAAGTCGCAGCAGAGGCCAGGCCCCCTACGGCCTTAGAAACCCCACTGAGGGGACTGGACTTTGTCCTG